TTACCCAACCACCTGGATTCAGAAAGTCTACTGTCGATAAGATTTTCTCTGACTTAGCTGAGCATAAGAGTTAAGCTTCCGGTTTAGGTTCCAGTTCGATAGGTACTGAGGGAAAGCTGTGTAGGACACAGAGAAGTTCGTACGTGCCATTAATGAAACAATGGTAAAGATTAATTTCTCAAGTAGTAATAATTGTAGTCCGTAATCAGTTGGCCAAGTTGCAGTTTTCAAAAATTGTACTAAAAATCGACACATCATGAAATCATTGATTTTTGGTTTAGTATAATTAATGAGCATCTATTGGCTCTCAATTTGTGATTCATAATGTGCCTTGTGCAGAATGTATGATAAGTGTATTTTCATAGTTTTTTGGCCTTTCTGCATTATAAATATATATAAATGATGAATGCTTATATATTTTTATCTTGTTCAATTTCATGTACTGACACTATAAATGATGCCTGATCTGGTAAGATGAATGCTTAAAAAATTTGATTGTATTTGCAGAAATTGTGTACTATTTGCTCAAAGAATGTTGCTACAGGGCAAGGCCAGGCCATCTTTACTGCTGAGTGCTCCCACTCCTTCCATTTCGGCTGTGTTAGTAACAGCATCTCGAATGGCAATTACACTTGCCCTGTTTGCCATGCCAAATGGAATAATCTCCCATTCACTATGCCTACCTTTGTCACTAATGTTCCTCCGCCACAATCCTCAATTCCAGTATCTTTTGGATTTCGAATCCCACCACCCTCAGCATTTGGATTCCATAGCCTGCCACACCCAGCATTTGGACGACTATTTGATCCATGGGCTGAACTTGGTCCCGAGTCCCTTGTTTTCTCGGATGATGAACCTTTGCTCACAATCACTGCTGATTCTAACTCTTTGGGTCCACGTGATGGGCTACAAAGTGTCAAAATCAAGTCCATTCCAGAGCGTCCTGCTGTTGCTGCTTCAGAACCCCTCTCTCAGTTTGCAGTTCTTGTTGGAGTACGCGCACCTCCTCTATCAGATAATGCACGTCTCTTCGATCGTGCACCTATTGACCTTGTTGCTGTACTAGACATTAGTGGCAGCATGAATGGCTCAAAGTTAAATCTGGTGAAATGTGCTGTTGACTTTGTCATAGATAACTTGGGCCCTTCTGACCGACTTTCAATAGTTTGTTTCTCATCTGATGCTCGGAGAATATTTCCCTTGCGCAGAATGACTGGCAATGGCCGTGAAGATGCGAAAAGGGCTGTTGATTTAGCTGTAGCAAATGGTTCGACTAATATTGTTGAAGGACTAAAGAAGGGGGTCCGTGTTCTTGAAGAAAGGCGTCAACAAAATCCAGTTGCAAGCATCATATTCTTATCTGATGGACAGGACACTTGCTCCGGTGGCTTATTTTTTCAAACTTCCTCACAGCCTCCACAATATCTACATCTTTTGCCTGGTTCCATCTGTCCCAGAAACAGAGGAACCCAAGATCAAGTCCAGCAGCAAACATTTCCTGTCCATGCATTCGGTTTCGGTTCAGACCACGACCCTGTCGCAATGCATGCCATTTCTGATGAATCGGGCGGCACCTTTTCCTTCATTGAGTCCTATGAAATGATACAAGATGCTTTTGCAAGCTGCATCGGTGGTCTACTAAGTGTGGTGAACCAGAAGCTTCAAATAGTTGTGAGATCAGCGTCAAATGGTGTAGAAATCAAATCAATTTCTTCTGGAAGATATGCAAGTGAAATCTCTGATCAAGGTTGTGGAGGCGTAATTAATGTTGGGGACCTCTATGCGGATGAGGAAAAAGAATTTCTGATCAACTTGTCGGTCCCTGTACTTCGAGGTGCTGAAGTTGAAGAAGGTCAGCGAAAGACGTCGCTTTTGGATATAGTGTGTTCTTATAGAGATATTGTATCAAAAGAGATAGTCCAAGTGGAAGGTGAACTAGTTGAAATATGTCGACCAAAAGTTGTGTCTCCCCAAGACAAGGTAGTTCACTTGGAAGTTGATCGACAGAGAAATAGGCTATGGGCAGCAGAAGGCATTGCAGAGGCGCAAAGGATGGCAGAAACGGGAAATTTTACTGGTGCACAGGCTGTGCTCTCAAACAGGAGATTGAAACTTCTCTCTTCAGCGTCAGCCCAAGCAGGTGATGGTCTATGTACGTGGCTTGAATCTGAGCTGAAAGAAACTGAACAACGAATGGGAAGTCGACAGGTGTATCAACAATCAGGTCGAGCTTTTGCACTCTCTGGAATGAACTCACACGGTTATCAAAGAGCCACGACTAGAGGCAATGCAGTGCCACCTCGTTTTAGTGTCTCGAACCCTATTGGTTTTGCCTCTTCTCCTTTCTCTGCACCAGCTGCAGCTAAAATTAGCTTTGGTGCCTACACAACTCCGAATATGGCCAATATGGTGAATAAGTCTCAGCAACTTAACAAGACAAGCTCATCGACTCCAAGTAAGGAATAAAATATCTTACCATTAGTTGGTCACTGTGTTTGGATCGTCGGTTATCAGAAAATTATCGTACTTAATTTCCCATTCCAAAGCTCTCTTGGTGGATACAGTTATCAAGTCTTGCACTAGTCATATTTCGTAATTCGTATAATAGGAAATCTATATCATCATTTGTAACATTGTTTAGTTCGAAGTTCATCTGTGTTGTAAGTTGAGAACACCTTTCTTCATGTCAAATCTTTGTTGATTAAGAGCTGATATTATTTCTGGTCACTGCTTCATAAATGATTGTCTTTATGTAAAACAACATAATATTTTTTATGATTAAACATTCTTGATGTAAATCTAATCTTTGATTTCATTTCAATGTCATACTTTCATAAATAATCTCTTTGTGACAATATTATTTCGAGCACAAGGCCTAACCAATTGGCTATGAAATTAATTAGCACAATATGTACATTTCATATATGGAAACCCTTCCTCATAACCGTAGTTGAGAAGTGCATGTGTGTTGTGTGCTACCGAAATTGGAGAAGGCATGTTTTGTGAAATGCATCTTTATCAGTTGAGATTGTGACACGTAGACTTGTGGTGGCCGTTGGAGGAAGATTTCTGGAGTCTTGTATTTGGCTTAATTTGAAATGGTTTGAGAGAATTTACCCTCTAGTTCTCTCATTTTTCTCACTCTCGACAACCTCATTAGAGAAACCCTAGCTTGCCTCTTCTACTTCTGTTGGTTGTAAATCCACTTTTGGCTTTCTTATTCATTAAGACTTTTGACTTTATCTTCTTGCCAAGTGGATAGCTACAAATAAGCTAATGGATAAAGTTGGCAGGTGGATAGCTACAAATAAGCTTATGGATAATCGTCTTACCATCTCTATATATATGTGTGCTACAACACATATGGTATCATCCCATTTTAGAGTGCTGAAAAACATAGAGAAAATGAGACAGTTTTAGAGAAAAATAATAGTGATTTCTCCTAAATAGTTTGTCTTTCCTTTTTCATAGCGTGTTTATCCTATTATAAGAGAGAGAGTATTGTCAATTGTGATTTCTTTATCTATAGAGAGAAAGTGTTGCAATCCTTTTGCTATACTGAAATCCTTGTACAGTTTGTCCGTGATTTTTCTATATAAAATTATTATGTTCATCATTTTTCCTCGATTTTCTCGTTTCTACTTTAGTTGTAATTAGGTGTCCCGTACCACAACATCCTAACAGTGGTATCAAAGAGCCGGATTTATAGTCGATTTTTCGTGTTGTTTTAATCCCTGATTTTGAGATTTTTGTGCATTACAACAGTTATAATTTGTATCAAGCTATTTTAATTTTAAAAATACAATATGTTGTTATAATTTAATATTCAATTAGATTTATCCATGAAAGATTAAAAGTTACATGGTTTATTTTATTGCCGAATGGTGATTTAGAGGTGCACGTTATATAATAATATAACATTTAATAATTATAATTTTATAATACAGTATTTTTCTATTATGGTGTTGAAGATCATAAAACATAATCACTTATTTTCTGCTACAATAATTCATAAAATACTTCGTGAGTCTTAATCTCTTTAAACATGCGAGAGATTAATGTTTCAGACTAATTATTTACAAATCACCTTCTCAAGTTCATATAATAATATTGTTATCACAGAAAATATGTGTTGGTTTTACTATAAATTTAATGCATTGGATTAATTGATTACTAGTTTGATGATTATGTGAGTCTCCTATGAATCGAGTGGTGAGTTTAAAATTTAGATCATATAATAAAATTCGATAAATTAGTATAATGTATAGAGATATGAATTCTTAGAACTAATGTTGATTCACATATAGATATGAAATTTAATTAGTTAAATATATTCAATGAGAACTCGAGATTGATAAATTGAATACAATAGAAAAATTCAATCGAACACTACATTATGTTATAATCTTGAATTAAGAATTAGGGTGATCAATACATGAAATTATTATTTGAATATTCAATTATTCGTTGTTTGCAATTTTTTAATATTTTTCATTAGTTAAAGTAGTTAGAAAAAATAATCACAATCATCATAATTATTTACTTGCTTTTGTCGAATATGAGTAAAAAAAAAAAAATTGATTAAGTCTGAACAATATAGGTGGATGGAAACTAGACTTGTTATACTAACAACGGGATCTGCCCGAATTTTAAAATCGACAAATATTATAAAAGCAGAAATGAAAATTGAAAGTAAGAAAGAACTCAATGTGATCGTATGTAAGCCATTGTTTGGCCCCCCATTAAATTGTATTACATTACATTAAATTTTTTTTTCTTCATTTCAACAACACATTCATCAAATAAAATAATATTATACACAAATCAAAAAAATTTCAACCACACATTCTCTCATCAATCATTATTGTAAAAATTTTTAACCCCCAAAAATGTAAAATAATGGGAGCCAAACAGGGGCTAAGCATAGAATGAACGGATGCCAGTGCAATTTCCCACTCTTGTTTTATAGAAAATGGAATATTATACTAATTTGGCTTCTAATGTCAATCCGGGTATTATTACAATGTAACAAAAAAGTCAGCATAACCAAGGCGTTCTTTGAACGCGACGCGTCAGACGATGAATTCAAGGACAACTCCGAAACCTTAACACAGAAGCTACACGTAGGCAAATTAATGGGGCCCTCTTTTCTTCTTTTTGGATATATATTCCAAATCCCACCTCCTCAGTACAATAACGCAAGAAACATGAGTTCCTCAACAGAAAATGTAAGTCTTCAGTCTTCTTCCCTTTCCTCGTTCTTCTTTGTGTATATATATATTTATGTAAAACATGAATGATCATGTTCTTGATATTCTTTGAATTCGCTGATCATGTGTTTGGTGCTATAACCATAATGATTATCGGGTAAATTGGTTGACTTGACAAGAAAATCCGTTTACTCTTCAACAATTGGTCGTTTCTATCAGGATTTGAAGTTTTAAGACTTTAATTTAGGCATACGATGTCGAATAGTGCCATGCCAAGAGTTTTTTTTTTTAAACTCATTTTTTTATGGGTTTTCCATTTGAAAGTTTGTATCTGAAATTAGATATAATTTTGATTCCTTCTGTCTTGGTGTAAAAGAAATTGATGCTTATAGACTTGTTCTAGTGGATTAGACAATCAGAAGTTTTGTTTTACTGTCTTACCATACCAGGGTTTAAGTATATCATTTGGTGATCTATTTTTTGACTTCAAGACTTTTAGAATTTTCAAGAATAATACAATTTTAATTGATCGCTTAAATGGTTGCAGGTTATAGCGGTTTATAATTTTTATTAGTAGATTTACTGATTCTATGATACGGCTGTTAACTATCTGTATTTTACGGGAGGGAGGGGGTTAACAGACCGTGAAGTATATTGTATTTACGTGGAAATGTTGAATTTCACGTGAAGAGTTTACTGTTGTATGCGCGATAAAAACAATGTTAGGCTGCTTAAGAAATAGTCTTGTGCTGAAGTAATGATAATTACAGGCGTTAATCAGTTCACCCCAGAATCGTGTTTTTCAATACGTATCAAAACATCACCCTTATATCCTGAGTTCAATCTTCACTGGATCAGTATTGTTAATGGATGAACTGCAGTTCGATAGATAGGATATCAACAATCTCTTGAAGCAAAAATGGAATTTAAATAATTACCCGTATACAGATTAAATAGAATTTTCTTTTATTTGGTTTGGATTAAAAATTTTCCTTCTATAGTTAATCAGCTGAAAAAATTCCACCCATAGATTTCAGTTGTGATTCATAACGTGGATTGTGCTGAACACTGTGTATTTTCAGGTTGTTTCTCTCTTTCTGCATTTTATTTTTCTTTCGATCTTATGTATTGTTACATATTTAAGTTGAAAACTTTTGTTGTTATGAGTTCTACCATATCACTTGCACAGATTCATTTTAGTAAGTTGAATGCTTTTGAAATTTCATTTTTTTCGCAGAATACCTGTGCTATTTGCTTGGGTGATGTCACAACAGGGCAAGCCATCTTTACAGCCGAGTGCTCCCATTTGTTCCACTTTGGCTGCATTGGCAATAGTGTCTCACATGGCAATTACAATTGCCCTATTTGCCGTGCCAAATGGAATTGTCTCCCTTTCCCTATGCCCAACATCAACCCTAGTGTTCCACCTTCACAATTCCCTACTCACTTCTCCGATGTTTCTCGAACACCGGTGCTGCCACCCACTCCATCTGAGCCCGAGTCTCTTGTTTTCAATGATGATGAGCCCTTACCCACAATCACAACAGACCCTACCTCTTCTTCTTCTTCTTCATTTGCTGGTCTGCAAAGTGTCAATATCAAGTCCATTCCTGAACGTCCTGCGCTAGCAGCTTCTGAATCCATCTCTCAGTTTGCAGTTCTTGTCGGAGTGCGTGCACCTCCACTATCAGATAATGCACGTCACCTTGAGCGAGCGCCTATTGACCTTGTTAATGTACTAGATGTTAGTGGCAGTATGCATGGCTCAAAGTTACATCTCCTGAAGCGTGCTGTTCACTTTGTCATAGATAACTTGGGACCTTCTGACCGACTTTCAATAGTTTCTTTCTCATCTGCTGCTCAGAGAGTCTTTCCCTTGCGCAGAATGACAGGCAATGGCCGTGAAGATGCTAAAAGGGCTGTCGATTCACTTCGAGCAAGTGGAATGACTAATATTGTGGAAGGCCTGAAGAAGGGGGTTCGTGTTCTAGAAGAAAGGCTTCAACAGAATCCAGTTGCAAGCATCATATTCTTATCTGATGGAATGGATACTTGCTACCGTAGGTCAATAATTCAAAATTCCTCAAATCCAGGACAGAGTCCTAGACTAAATCCCGAATATCTACATCTTTTGCCTGATTCAATCTGTCCTAGAAGAAGAGGAAGCCAAGATGAAAGCCAGCAGCAAAGATTTCCAGTCCACACATTCGGTTTTGGTACGGATCATGATCCTGTTGCAATGCATGCCATTTCCGATGAATCAGGTGGCACCTTCTCTTTCATTGAATCTTATGAGATGGTGCAAGATGCTTTTGCAAGCTGCATTGGTGGTCTTCTAAGCGTGGTGTGTCAAGAACTGCGAATAACTGTGAGGTCAGCATCAAATGGGGTGGAAATCATATCAATTCCTTCGGGAAGATATGCGAGTGAAATCTCTGATCAAGGATGTCAAGGTGTAATCAATGTTGGGGACCTGTATGCGGATGAGGAAAAAGAATTTCTTGTCAACCTGTCGGTTCCAGTACTTCGAGGTGCTGAAGATGAAGAAAATGAGGGAAAGACATCGATTTTGGATATAGCGTGTTCTTATAGAGATGTCATATCAAAAGAGATGGTCCGTGTAGAAGGTGACCTAGTCGAGATACGTCGACCGAAAGTTTTGTCCCCCCAAGATATGGCAGTTAACTTGGAAGTAGATCGGCAGAGAAATCGTCTGTCAGCAGCAGAAGGCATTGCCGAGGCTCAAAGGATTGCAGAGACTGGAAATCTAAGTGGTGCAAGGGCTGCACTGTCAAGAAGGAGGGCATGTCTTCATGTTTCAGCAGCTGGCCAAGCAGGGGATGGTCTCAGTAACTGGCTTGAATCCGAGCTTAAAGAAACTGAACAAAGAATGAGAAGTCGTCAGTCGTACAACCTAGCAGGACGAGCTTATGCACTCTCAGGAATAAGCTCACATGCCTATCAAAGAGCCACAACTAGAGGGAGTGTAGTGCCGGGAGCAGAAGCACATCGAAACTCGAGTGCTGCTGGTGATGTCCCTACAGATTTAGCTGCTCCTGCTGCAAATAATGTTATTTTTGGAGCCTACACAACTCCCAATATGGCCCATATGGTGAATAAGTCTATGCAACTCAACCAGTCGAGTTCATCGACTCCGATCCATGCTCCCACTCCCACTCCCACTCCCACTCCCACTCCAACTCCAACTCCAACTCCTACTCCTCCTACTCCAACTCATGAGTAGAGTATGTTATCATTGATTCGGTATTGTATCTGCATGAATGTTCTTGAATCCTTGATTAAGCATTTGGGACTAGATTCCATTTAAGTTTGAATTTTCCTTGAAAGCAATTGATTGGTGATTGTGTTTTGCTTGGGTTTTTTATTCTGTTTGTTTACCTGTTTATATCTTTCATGTTAAAGTATCACTGGGTTGGCCGGAATGTATATAATCGTTGAATCTATTTTCCATTGTATTGGACCGTTATTTCTTATCGCATATCCAAACAGCACGTTCGTGTTATGGAAGATAGGATGGTTGTTGACTGAGAGAGAGAGAGAGAGATTACATGATAAATGCAATTACCAATGATTCCAGTAAGATAATTAAAACAAAAGAGGAAATTGCAGGATAAGCATGGTTTGATCACCAAGTTGGCGCTTTTGGATTTGTTCCTAAGCATGTATAGCAATTATCGTACTCCTATTCTTGGTTGGTTAGTGGACCCACAAACTACGTTAGGTTTTGAATATTGTTAGCTTGATTAAATAAGTACTACAAAAATAATTATGCGTGTAATTTCTTCAATTATTTTTATTTTTATGCAAATATAATCAATCGTGTCGGGTCGAGCCCATGACAAGACTCAACAGAAATATTATAATTTTTAGTTAATTTCAAGAAATTGAAAAGTACTTGCAACAAGAGCTAGACTCAACATGACTCACATCTCGAATAGGTCAATCTAAGAGCCTGTTTAGTATAAATTTTTTTTCACCATTTAAGTCTATTTTGTACACTTTTTGACAAATTGGCGGGGCCCACATCTCACAACAAGGTCAATAGTTTCGGCTCAACGGATTTTTTTCACCTTTTAAGTCATTTTTGTACCCTTTTTGTCAAATTGGCGGGGCCCACATCTCACAACAAGGTCAATAGTTGCGGCTCAACGGACCAATTTATGCTAAAAATCCTTACCAGACAACTTCTAAGACAATCTCTTAAATTTTATTGAACTTAACTTGAATTAAAAAGAGATTGAATAATTACGAACCTGAACAACCCTTCCTACTTTTACTCATCGAGTGTAGCACATGAAACAAAAATTTGGCATGCACAGCTTGTTTCATAAAGTGTCTATCCTTTTCGTTTCATGTCAATTATTTTGAAGACATTATTGGCACATGAAAGAGTGTAATATTTGAAATATAAATAAATATTTATTTATAGTAGAGTATTAATATATTATGGTGTAGAAGGTCATAAAATCTAATGATCCCAACATAGTTTTCTAGTTCCATCCTAATACATTTATAAATAGTCCAAATATCTACATCTTTTGCCTGGTTCAATCAGTCCTAGAAACAGAGGAAGCCAAGATGAAAGCCAGCAGCAAACATTTCCTGTCCACACTTTCGATTTTGGTATGGATCATGTTCCTATTGCCATGGTATTACTCACTATTGGATTAAAGTTTACTCTCTATGGCCTGATCTGGTCTTGTTTCTAAGTCTAACTTCACAAATCCCTTTTCCCAGTTGGTGTTAGATACTGCAATAACTCAAAGCATACTCGAACATAAATTACCGGTCAAGAATTCTTACTTGAAAGAAGAATTCTAACATCTTTGTGTGGTTGAAGCACCTGATATTTCAGAACTTCAAAATCTGCATTTTCTTGTTTTTTAATGGTCTAAAACCCCATCACAATGGAGGGGATTTTACAAGCAAATTTCACACATTTTGTTGCCATCTTTTCTTTCTCATCATTCAATTCTTAGTGACGGAAGTTATTTCAAAATTATAGGGGTGGATGGAAGTTGAGTAAAGTAATGGGTTGGAAATTCTATTCAAACCACTCCCTCCAATTCACTTTAATAACTTATGAGTCAGATCACCTTAACATTGACGATCCACAACTTGTATTTTCCAACGGATACAGTTTTATTTAACCTGATAAACACGTTATGCATCAAGTTGGCGCTTTTGGATTTGTAAAAGTACAATTGCTCAGAGTTTGCTTCACTCCGTGAAAATCAAGATACTGTGCGTGGCTTAAGTCTTAAGCTCTGTGTAAAGGCTTCTTAGTTCACCAGCCTACAAAGTACAAACCCGACCTGCCTTTACTCATCAAGTGTAATGCATGAAATAAAAATTTGATACGCAGCGCTTGTTTTTTTAAGTTTCTATCCTATTCGTTTCATGCCATTTAAATTCTGAAGACATTATTGGGCACATGGAAAAATGTAATATGTGAGAAATGCAACACAGATATATATAGTATGAGATGGGATCGTGCAATAAATAAGTATATAGATACTGAAGGGATTGGAATCAGGGGCGGATCCAGGGACTGGTCTCCAACTCAGACCCTAAGTAAAAAAAAAAAATTATATGTGAAATTTTTTTTTTTATGTTTTAGTCCGTGTCCAATGCTTTTGGATCCACCACTAATTGGAATGTAATTTGAAAACCCTCACTCTGTACAGATTATTTGTCTATCGAATCATGCTAAAGGACAAAGTTAGATAGTATAAATTATATTAATATACATGACTTGACTTAACCTTCTAGAATTTGGTTCAATGACTTCTTCCTAAACTCGTGAAATTATTATTACGTCCTTGTTTGATCCTCATTTTTTTAATATATATATTTTTTTCTGTTTTTTTAAATCACATATTCTTTAATAAAATAATATTATACACAAATTTAAAAAAAATTTATTTTTTAATAACATATTTTTCATCAATCTGTTATTTCAAAATGTATTCTACACAAAATGGGGCTCAAACATGCCCATTTAAACAGGGAAAATAATCCCTATGCCAACCATAATATATATTGCATGACTCAGCAAATATTATCTAAGTATATTTACTTAAAAAAATAATGTTTAATCAATCCCAAAGCCGTGTCAGTTACTCAAACTAGCTAATGTCAACTACTTACGGCATTTTTCAGATCAACCATCATACCAACTTAGGAAAAAAATAATATTAATACATTATCAAATTGATTATCCCACCCTTATAAGATTTTTGGGGTTCGATCCACCTTATTAATAGAAGTCGATCAAATTTTTATATGTTTGTCGATATTTCTGCATTTAATCGATATGAAATTTATCTTCTATCATGTCATGTAAAATGGTGGTTCGTTTGAATACACTAATCTTGAAATCCATTCTTGTTTGAGCATTTGGATCGAATTACTCGTTTAAATTTTCTGGTCTCTAATAGCATGTTAACGCATTTGGATCGAGTTACCCCTTCAAATTTCCTATCCATTCAAACCATTTTCTAAGATTAAGAACACAATTGATAAAGTGCATTAGGTAGCTCTGGACTCTGTTAAAAAAAGAAACTGAAATGTTTAATAAAAGAAACTAAACAAGTTTAATAGATGAAGAACAAATATATCTCAAATTTATGTCAACCCTATAATTCAGATCCAAATTTAGTCTGAATTTTCAGGAACAAATTTTCCTCAATCTAAAATCATAATCTTCACAATAAAGGAAACATGTAATTATATATATATTTCGTATATTGTTACCTGATCTTGCAATTCAAGCCATATATATATATAATCCACAAGAAACCGTGTAATTAAATTCTTTTTCTGATTTATGCAAAACAACTTCTCTTGATTGCGCCATTGATATGAGCCTCAGCAACCCTGAAGAACGATTCAATCTCTTCTCTCGAAACCACGTCGAAAAATTCCAATTCGGATAATTTTCTCTTGCATGAGGGCACCCGGGTCGTTTTTTTCGGGGCCGGTGGGCAGCTGAGAATCTTGGGAATCATGTGTTGTGGAGTCTTTGGTGTGTGGCAACCTTGATCGTTGATTGAGGAGGTTTGTTTTGTACAATTTTGATCATCAGTAATATCAGACGACTGTGAAGAGTTGATCTTTATCGTTGGTAATCTGATTCCGAGCAATTCTTGTCTAAATTCAAGATCTGTAGACATTGTTTCTTTGTGTGGTGGGATGGGGTTGCGTGATGGAGAGATTAGAGGTTGTGGACAAGAGATGGAAGAGAAGAAGGTATGAGTTTTACTTCAATATATAGATAAGGAAAAAAAGATAGGGTGGGGTGGGGGTGAGGTGAGGTGAGGTGCGGTGGGGTTATGAGTTTTTCTCGATGTACAGATCAGATTAGGGAAATAGGTGGGGAGGCGTGCATTGGAAGGTAATTGAGAGAGGGAAAAGTGGTTGGTATTTCTTTATTCTTACACAAGTGAACAACTTTTGTGACCCGTCTATATCATGAACTCTTGTATATTTTTCTGCAACTATACTTTTTTAGTTACCTTAAATCACAAATCTTTGGCCTTCTCTTCAATGCCATTTCCTCGTTAGCACAACAAAACATTTCTTGGGCATTAATTCTTCAAGATTATACACCTAATTTTCCATTTCAAACACTTCATCGACGTGCCTAAATTGAGTTAAGATATCTCTTAGTCACATATGAAATTGTACGAGATAAGATTTTTCAGTTAATTGTCATGTTGTAAAGCACATTTCCTCCTTCTCGCACTTCAAAAACTTGCAAAGGGCTGTTTCTTGTGCATGATAATGGTATCTTATGTGCAACGGCTAATTCATAGCCTCATATTCCCGTTCTAAAATTGCATTTGATGTTGACTACACTCTAAGACACTTCTGATTGCTTCATCTTTTTTTATCATACTCTCGAGTCGACATGCCAAATATTAAGAAGAAGAAGAATTACAAATCGCACGTTCAAAGTTGAATAATTTTACAATTCCGATTAATTTGCTCATTTATACTATAAAATATTAGGATTATAGCCAAGTGACTATAAATTAATCTTGATAACATGTTAATATCTTAGATAATTTTCCTAATCTTTATTGACATTTTCAGGAAGTGATTTGTGCAGTAAATACGTGAGATTAACCCTAACAAATTAAATAACTAATATGGCTAACAACTTTATTAAGATTTCGGTATAAGAAATTAAAGAGAATCTGAGACAGTGAATGCAACACAAAAGCTTTTTCCAGCAATTGTGATCTGGATTTGACGGTTTTCACCTTTGGCATTTGTCACGTGGAAGTTTACGTTAACAGCCAAAAAGAAACTCTTAAACGAATTTTCATTCATATAGGCGGAAGCATAAACTATAATCAAAATTTCAATTTTCATATTTTATAATGTGAAAAACTCCAATTTTTATTATGGCCAATTCACTTGAAGATGGTATAAGGGCAGAGGAAAGAGTTCAAAGTTTCGACAACATCCCAATATTGCATACTGGGGATCGAACGTCCCAACCGTTGAATTCTAGTGGTGCTTTTGCTACAATTTATGAAGAAATTCTGAATGATCAAGTTATACTTCCAATTAAAAGGATGGGTAGATGTCCCTTCAGGGGTGACCGAGTTGGTGGAGCAAGTAAACGCGGAGACCAAAGGTCACGGTTTGAATCCCCTACCAACACTTCTTCGGTCGAGCTCGTCGCATCGGATTGCCTAGTGCGGTTTACCTCTCCTGTGTGATGTGTCGACTACTGCACACAGAGTGGGATTTACCTAGTACGCACTCACAGTGGTCGCTATTCAGCAAAATTATAATTGTATTGAATTATTATTTATAAGTTTCAAGAAATTCATTGATTATGTCATTAATTACCTTTAATTTTTTTCGCATGTGAAAATTGAATTTGTACGTTGTACAGATAAATGTAGTTTAATCGATTCTAGCACTACACGAAAACAAAATTCAGAGTTCGACTTTTTATCGATCAAATTATGGTCATTCTTTTAAACACATGTTTGGACATAGAAACGTGAAATAATTTGTTGCATAGGATACCATATATCTACCAAGTCTTAATTGATGAATAAAAACAATAATAGGGGTAGTGTTTGGTAGGTTGGTTTTACCAAATTCAATACAGTGAATCTTCCCACGTGAAATGTTCCCCCACCCTATTCACAACATCAACATCAACATACCACTCCTAAATATTCATCTTTCCTACAGCCAATATTTTAAGTATTGATCCAAAACAGAAAAGAAAAAAGAAAAAATAAATAAACAACCATGGTCTAAACAAATGTATTAAGGGCATGTTTTCTTTATCATTTTCAAGCCGTTTTCTATTTCGAACAGTCAAAACGCGTTCGCTTTCCCATTTTCGAAAACGCGTTTTTGAGTGTGTTCAGTTATAATCAAGTCAAAATTTTCAAAACACGTTTTGGGTGTTTTCAAAACAATTTTTCAAAATGTAAAAAAAAACACATTTTCTACAATCTCAAAATAGATACTCAAAACACAAAACTCAAATACAAAGACTACAGCCCCTAAGTATCTTTTATTATAATTTTAAATATATACTTTTTCTCGTAACTTAAAGATTCCGATTCTTATAAATTCTTGTCCAATCAATTATCATGTAGTACGATTTTCTTATAAGTTGAACATGGAAATCACTTTTTCTAATTAACAAATTATTAATGGCTGTGAATTTAATGCAAATCCAATATTGACAGCATTGAATCATGATGTGGACAATCTAGATAATGATTAATCGAGTTGTACAACCATAGATAACAATGTTGTTGACAATGTATGAGTTGTCAAAAAACTGTTGATTATAAAAATAAGTTATTTTTCAAATTGTCTAATGAAAATTTGCAATGTCTCATATTGTCAATAGGATTGTGATCCATGATTGTACACCAAACATGATCGATCTAGACAATTAATTGAAAAGTTCTTGATATAATCACAATCTTTATTCCTAATGCCAAGTGCCAACTCAAGCTTACTCCACAATACAAACTTTTCACTTTTTTTTCTCACTTTTTTACTTTTTTCAGTTTCCATTCCTTTTCAACATGTTTTTCAGATCCAATCCCTAAGAAGAGATGATGCTTATTCATGAAAGAAAGAATATTGAAGACCGATAAAAAATTTATTTAAAAATAAAAATTAGTTCACAATATGATTCAAAATAAAACATCCCAACTTGTCAAAGAAGTGACAAATGTCTTTGTAATGTTGATGTAGGAATCTAGAAACAAGCAAGAGACAGAAGCAGAAAGGGACCCACTTAGTCCTTTGACTGGAAATAATTAATCTTTAGTGCTTAGTGTTGTTAGGTGCACTTTACAATTACAGGCATTTGACATATGGAATAAAATCACAAGGGATGCTGCAAAAAGTTATTTATTCGTTTTGCTCACTTCAAATGGGCTGTAATTCATGTGTACATTGTATTGACAAATGGGAAATCTGCCATTAAATTATACTTCATTTCAAGCCCCCGATAAAATGAATGATCGAAAAATTATGAATCTCATGAATTGAGTGGTTAAAAATAATTTTTAACTTTGAATTTAATTTTGTCTTAACTCTAACCATCGATACAAATTCTAGCAATAGACAAATTGTTGTACGAATAGCAAAATTTATAAGAGACTCAAAATACAAGATATTCTCTATTTTATAGATTCAATGGTCACGAAAGAAACTCTCTATTTTTACTTTATAAAATAGAGAGTGACACTGAGTCTCCAAATTCTATTTTTACTTTATAATGAATGCATTTAACGAATTATGAATCTCAATACTCCACTTTTTAAATTATTCAAATTATATATGAATAATTGATCATTGACATAAAAAAAAATTTAAATAATAAATAATAGAAATCAAAAGATATTTTCTTAGAAAGTAAAATGAAGTATTAGAATAGAGAGCATTATTTGAATATATAAAAAAGATTACTTTTTGATTTTAAAGATGCCCTATTATGCTTACGACTCTTTTTTTTTTTTTTATAAAAAGAGTCTCGAAATGATATTCTAAGTCAATATAATGGTTTATTTTGTTAGGAAACTTCATTTAATTGAAGTGTAAATTACGACAAAGTCATCAATCTTTAGGTTTATTTGTACTTTCATCCTTAATTTTTTTTAACCTTCTAAAAATGTGGCATTCATCCAAGTGGATGTATTGCATCTATTTTACTGTTAGTCAACCTATTTGACTTGTAAGCCTAAAAATTAAAAGGGAAAAATTTATCATTCTAGTATTATTAAATATTGATGAATGAAAACGAAAAATCATAAAAACAAAAGCGCAAAAAAAAAAAAAAAAATTCAACCATTACTACCCAAAAAACTTTCCATGTTTTAACGTTTACTGTGTATTAATTTTGGAAATAACCGTTTAGAAAATGGATAATGCTAAAGGTACATAAGGATCTACATAAAGGTGTCCATAATGCTGATGTGGCATGTGATCCCACCTTTAATTCAAATCTGACACTTACACATCAATGANTAATTTGCAAAACAAACGGATAGATTAAATTCATCCATTTGACTGATTGTCGTCTATTTTCCAACGATTTGAGGACCCAATAGCCTAGAAAAAAAGTGAGGAAGAAAGTGTTAATGAAGCCGAAAGTTTGGGACCCTTCCATAGTTTACCTAAAATGAAACTAGTCGACAACTCCGTGCTATTATTTTGTTTGTTTGAGACTATACTTAAAATTTATTTTTTCACATACCTTTTTTCCTTTAATCATTTCAAATCACTTCCAACCTTACCTATCAAAAAAAAAAAAAATATAATAATAATAATAATAATTCCCTTCCAACCCAATGATAATAGACAATATTAGATTTTGAACAACAATATGAAATCAACCTCACAAATGAGTTTTTTTTTTTTTACTTTACCTCAAATTTAATAAATAAATTAATAAATTAAAATTAAATAATACATTTCCAAAATAAAATTGTAATTGCATTTGAATAATCAAATATTATATACTTTAAAAATTTATTTGACTGGTAGAACCAATTGTTAAAAAAAATTAAATTAAACGGATAACAAATATCATTTTTCTTAATATATTGTAGCATTGTTCTCTTTTCTTCTAATGTAATTGTAATTTAATAATTTGATTGTCTAGATTGACTCGTGC